GCTGAGTACTTACCGTGGGTACTTTTTTGCAGTTATGGGGAGAATTTTGCCATTTTTTAAGTAATATGATTTGAGCTGAAGAGGGTTGAATAAATATCTATGGCTAATTATTGGTTCTTTCTGCCATTTATCTGTTGCAGCTCAGGCTTTTTAATTGAATTCTGTTTTGAGTCAGAGGCATAAATTAGTTTCAGAATTATCGTTTATTGGAGTATATTTCTCTGTGGCTTTATATCACGCTTTTTGTGTTTAGTCTTTGTTTTTCAATTTTGGGCTAGTATTTGCTAGAAAATATTAGATATATGAGTACATTTAATGAAATTTGTCTAAAAATATTAGCCTAACTACATTTTTGATAGAGAAAACTCTTAAAACTCAGTACAGATTGCCACAATAATAAAAATGTTTCTCATTTGAATACTTGTTAGTGTGGTAGTTAGAATTTGTGTATCAGTTTGTTTGACATCCCAGCATGTGAACTAGCCTGAGTATACAGCGAGCCAGTGGTTACACATTAACCAACATTGATTGCAGCTTCCAGAGAATGTACTCTCTACAACGTGCCTTATTTCTACTGTTATTACTGCAAATGAATATATCTGTTTAAAACAACAATTTTATCTTGCATTTAGCAGAAAGCTGGAGCACTTTTGGCACATTTTATATTTGATATGAGATATGTGTTAGTTATGTATTGCCTAATGTGCGTATGCTGAACACATCTCCACTGAATAAATAATGTAACTCATATTTACTCCTGTTATAGGCTAAATTTTAAGAACTTTACATCATTTAAAAGAAAACAAATTTTTTTGTTAAACGTTAAGGTCCTATTACACAAAATTGACTTGTGTGAGTCATGTTATAATGCTGTTTCCTGATCTAAAACAATCCGTGTGTCATTCGTTCATTCGTTTTTCAATATAAAATCAAAAATAAGAAAATGAAAAAACATCTATTTTCTTCATTATTTGTCTCCAAAACCAAAATGAAAAAATGGATAACGATTTGTTTTTTCATTTTTCAATTTTGTGTTTAAATGAATAATGGAAAAAACGGATAACGGCCGTTTCCCGTTTTCCTTTTCCCGTTTCCGTGACTTAAACTGTGATGCTGGAGTGAGCCATGACTGAACCAGGACTAAACTGGTCTGGTCCTGGTCTCAATCCCGGTCTCAATCACAGTCTGGTCCCAGTCTGGTCCCAGGCTCAATCCCGGCCTCAGTCCCGATCTCAGTTCTGATCCTGTTCCCCGTCTCAGTCCTGGTTTAGTCCTGGTTCAGTCCTGGTTCTGGCATCTCAGTTTAAGTCATGGAAACAGGAAATGGCTGTTACCCGTTTTTTCCATCATTCATTTAAACACAAAATTGAAAAGTGAAAAAACAAATCATTATCTGTTTTTTTCATTTTGGTTTTGGAGACAAATAATGAAGAAAATAGTTGTTTTTTCATTTTCTTATTTTTGGTTTTATCATGAAAAACGAATGAACGAATGATACACCGATTAAAAACATATCGTGAGTTCTGTTTGTTTAATTCACACATGTTTGAATAAGACTGCATTATTACCCTGTCTACATCTCCAAAGCTCAAAATGCTCTGTTCCACCAGTAGTTTTCAAGTTAACAGCTACCATTAGCTTGTCCAGTAGAGATTAGAAAATCCAGGGCTGAAATTATCCAAATTATTGTAATAGAGGTGTGTAAGGTGAGTTTAAAAACACCATGGACTTTCTGTATATGTGAATGTACATGACATCACAAGATGGACAGCAGAAGCCTAGATATGCAGGATTTGTGTGCTAAATTTGTGTGAATCAAACCAAACTAAGGGTATGTTTTCGATGCAGACACAACATTATAACTTTGAAAATAGTGTAATATGGGCTGTTTAAATGCCAGATTTTCATCATTCTGAAACCAGTGGATATTAGTCAAGTATAGCAGACTAGCAGACAGCCATATGTGATCTCTGCTCTTCATGGTGGACTAAAAATATCAGCCACACTCTTCAGATCCACACCCAGGTTCTGTCTGGGCCCAGTATAGCTATTGCACCCTTCTAAGTATATCACCTTTTTGTCGGCAAGCCTAGACAGAGCTTTAAATAGCTCTGCCGCGCTATATTCACCACGACGCATTATGTAAGAGGATATGGAGCATAGAGGTCGGTTAGCCAGTGTGCCCAAAGCCTAAACTACAGCTAATGTGCATGTACCAGAGGCAAGAGGCCCATTGTCTCATCTCCACCCCCCTCTCACAGTCATGCGTGACCCCCGAGAACTCAACACTGCCCTGGGGTTAGTGTGTCGACTGTCAGGGGGAATCCTAGTGTGGAAAAACGTGAGTCACTGTGAACTGTGCAGGGGAAAGGGAAAGGGGGAAAGGGGGAGAGAGAAGGGGGAGAGGAGAGCGGGGAGAGGGCCGACCTACTGAATATAGCTGTTATGACATCAGCAAACAGACTGTGGTTGGACTATGCAAGCCTCAAGCAAAGTTGAGTCAGACTGGCAGACCTACTCATACACATAATGAGAGTAGGGCAATTTTACATGGCTATTACATGTATTACTAGGAGTGTGACGAGACAGAGTTTCTACAAGATGAGACACGGGATTGGGCCCATGAGAACGAGATTAGACAAGATTTTTACATACTTTCTAATATAAAATAAATAGTGCGATTAGGTACCAAAGTTCACTGCAAAACTAAAATCTGGCCAAGTTAAGATGACTTGAATTAAGATATTTTTATGAAGATTTGAGTAAATTTCACTTGACAAGTAAAATGATCTGCCAGTGGAAGAAGACTGACCAGTTAAGAGCAGAAAAGCAGGAACTCTTTGCACTTAAAATAAGAAACTAAATCTAATGTTGCTTGAATTAAGGAAAGCACATTTATTCCACTGGTAGATCATTTTACTTGTCAATTTAAATCTACTCAACTCAAATAAAGTAAAATGCTTTAATTTAAGTCATTTTAACTTACACAGATGTTGATTTTTGCAATGTTGGATTCAGAATTTGTATTTACTGTGTTTCCCACAGCGCTTTATAGTTAGGGTTTCCACCTTGGCAACAATTGCCCCCCCCCCAAACCTTGACTACATCCCTTCAAACCACGTGAATCCTTGCAAAACTACGGTTGTCACGCCCCTGCCCTCACTTTTGCCAATTTCACCTATTTTTTGCAGGAAACACTTTATTTACTACGGCTTCATTTTACGTCAATTGAATCCATCATAATTCTGCATTATTTGTGTTTTATCTGTATAATCCAGATAACAATTATGAAAATATGACTATGCTTATTTAATACCATCTTTAGGTGAAATACACAATTCCAGTAGTCTCATCTGTTTTTGTTTTGTTTTTTATCAAATGGTAGCTGCAGAATAAAGACAAATATGTAAACGTTACTCAAACTTTTAATTAAAACCGGATGTGAACTAAAAGAGTCTGGTCATACTGAAGCCAATCTCAGGTAATCCTAATACCTTTGAAGGCATTATACAAAGTGAATGAGACTCATGGAAACCTATAGAGCATACTAATCTAAATCGTTATAGATTAGCTCTGGTTTCCTGCTCTGTAGAACTGTAGACAGACCAGTTAATCATTGAACAATGTTACATACATGCTCATGGCCACATGCTGTTCTCTACTAAAATACTACTAAAACCACATACTTCTTCACACCATAGCGTATTAGGTTAATTGTTGTATATTGTGCTGTATAAAATAAAGCTGGTTCTCCTTTGCACATTACTAAATAGTATGAGTTTTATGATAACCTTGTAGTTGGATGTATATAAACATAATTTGTTCATGTTTTACAATATGAGGTGAGTTTGAGGTAATGTCACTCTGGACTTCAATAGTGAAAATGCTTTAAAGGTCTTATAGTAAACAAAACTTACTCTTGAATTGAATGTTGTTACCTCATCAAAAACCTACTTGGAGTTGTGTTTTGTTTCATTCACATGTTTGAGTAAAGCTTTATGAGTAGTCTGTCTACTTATTCAAAGTTCACATTTCTTTACGTTTTACAGAAACAAAACTTAAAACTGCATTCCTAATTTGCATAAACTATTAGTGCAAAAAAAAAAAAAAAAGCCAAAACAAAAAACAGCTCGCTCCTTGTTCCCTGATGCTGCTAGCTTCTGTTGAACTTAAAAAGGACATGACTCAGTGGAATATGTGTGTTCTTTCTGTGACAGAGGGGTGTTCTGCTGTTCTGTGCTTCTGTTGTGTTGGAGATGGTTCACGTTAAACTTTTCAGAGATTGTACATCTGCAGGTCATACGCATAGGCCACATATATGAATGGACGTATATTCTAGCCCCCTAGCATTGTGGTGGTGAATTACTTCGCAGCACGCAGGCCATACATAAAAAACAACGGCGTCAAGGTGACAGAGTGACAGTTGAGTCGACGTAAAACTATACTTCACCCTTTACACATGGCATCACAAGGTGGAAAATGTATTTTGTGTTTGAGAAAAAAGCGCAGCATGTTAAACATATGTGCATGATACAAAACACAACTCCAAGTATGTTTATGATGAGGAAACAACATTATAACAGAGCAGAAAATAGTGTGATATGGGCTCTTTAAAGATTCCAGTTGGAGGACTGTGCTCCAGAGGAATACATTCTCCTCTTGTTAAATTTTGGGGTTATTGGCCGGTCATGAAGCAACAGGAGTGCAGGCACTGTCATCTTTGTTCTGCTCTCGTTTGAAATAAGCAGCCTCACGGTGCGCTGCTGCTGATGCTGAATTGGCTGGATTAGGGTTTACGCTTGGTATAACTATGATCTGGTGTAACTATGACATGCATGATTAGCTGTAATCTGCACTCACAGGCAACACAGCTGTCACATTCAGCACTCATCCAAATCAGAGGGAGGCCTAGGCGTGCGTGGAGGTTTGGGAGCCGAGCAGACCCGTTAGCCAGATCCCTGTTGAGTTGTTGGATGATTGAAGAAGCACATTCTAAAGACTAGTTCAAGTTCACATAGAAGGAAGACGGGAAGGAGGCTGATAGTGCAGTATCAGGCCAGCTCACACTCGCCCAAATCCCAGATTAAAGGCCCCCGCCCCCTGCTGCCGCTGCACTCGCTCTGTCTAACCTAGTAACACACACAGCAGCCTCTTTCACTTGTGGCACAGACTGGATTACTGAGGCACTGTCGGAGCAGGCTGCCCCCACAATGGTGAGGTAGGACACCTTTTTCACCTTGTTGTGTATTTTTGAACCCTCTTTACTGATACTGAACGCATATATTTTAATAAACAACTTCAGTTTCAATTTGAATACTCTTCACTGTTACTTTTTGATACTAGAATATTGCCTGTAGCCTTTATACAAGAACTATGAGCTGTGAACTGTGAGCCAGGCTGCTCAGATGTGCCTCTGTGCTGTCTGCTTTGAGCATTGTCTCCTGTTAAACCAACTGTCACTTTCCTTCATTAGTATTCATTAGTTCCAGTATAACTTTAAAGTGTGTAATAATAGACAAACAAACTGTGACTACAGCTTCTGAACAGGTGTACTTTTTATTAGTACTAAAACAGCCCCTACTTCCCATCTCCTCATATATCTATACAAGCAGAAGGCATACAACTGGGCATGGGATACTAACCTCTGTTGCCCATACTGTCACTGATTGTTGCGCAGTGACATTTCTGACACATTTCACTTATTTATATGTCCTTAACCTAAAATGGTAAGGTTCTCAGTAACCATTTAATACCTCATCTGCTGTATATAGAGTTACTAACACATGGAACTGATATGAGGGGAATTGCAGTGTCTCATTTGATTTCATCACACTCATTAGGACCAATCGAGTGTGAGAAAAAGACTAGAGGCTGTGAAGTTCAACAGAGACTTTTGCTTTTGTAAAATATTATGTACAGGGGACAAGTCCTGTGTTTTAAAGGTGCACTGTAACTTTTCGGGAGAGGGTCCGCAACTGGTTTATCGTCATGGAGATGTTAATACTTTGTTGTTGTTGTTTTTTTTGTCCACAGTTGTCCACAGTATGGTCTTGCATTGATTAAAGTACAGATGTTAATTATTGCAGTGTTAATTCCACAGCTTTTACATAATTTGTTAAAATAACAGGGAAAAAGACAACAGAATATGCCCTGTATTATAATGTAAAAATACAAAAATATCATGAGCTTCCCTTATTTGAAAGACCATGCATTATTTTTTTGTTCAAAATGAGAAAAAAATACTACAACTGCTCCAATTTGGTTTTGTTGTTTTAGGAAAACACTTTGGAAACTGTCTGTTTACAAAATGTGCTCCATCAATAAAATGGAGTGGATTTATAAAATGAGTGTCACTATCTAGACACTTATTTAATCTGAAACCCAATTTCATGATTTGGTGTTTGTCCTACTGTTGAAATAAATTGCTGTAAGCCTCAGTAGGTCTGTGATGAAGGATTATATGGGATTTGTGACATAAGGCACTTTTGCTGCGCTGTTGTGTTATATTGTTTTTCCATATGAATCTGTGCTGGATTAAAAACAATGCCACACAAGTAATCTGACCACACCAGCTGACATCCATGATCTGTCAGCCTTCTGCACTACCCACAATGCACCTGGACATGCCCACATTTCCTGGGATAGAGCCTTTAGAAATGATCATTGTTGGAGTCTGCCTTGATATCCACTAAATTGCATGGTACCACAAATGATAATGCTGCTCTTGTTCCATTTCACTGGACCGATAGACAATGTTTCCCATAGGTTTATACTAAGACTGTGGTGGCACAAGCGATCCATGTTTGAATCATTTTATTTAAATTTATAAAAATTTTGTTGTATAAATGTCATTTATTGCCTCTACTGAACAAAAAAGCATGGATTACATATTAAAAAATGTTACTTCTGTGTTTATGACAATACATACAAGCATATTTTTTATGTAGGCCTATATATATTTTTAATGTTTTTTCCAGGTAGTTTTTTTTTTTTTTTTTTTAGCTTACTAAGGTTTAAGAAGAAAATTCAGTTTGAAAGTGGTCCCCATGTAAACAGATTAGTGAGACTGTAAACAGAGATATCACTTGTTATCCCCAAAGAAGGACTTGTAAAAGTTTCATTGTAAAGTAAATATATGGTTAATGATTTTCAGTTCTAGTTAAAATTGGATTACTTACCTCAAGTGAGATTCGCTCTGTGTTGTCTAATTATTAAATGTCCTTCATTATACAAAATTGACTCTTGTGAGAGCTATAAGCCGTGTTATAATGCTATTACCTAGTCAAAAACATACCTGGATTTGCATTTTGTTTCACTCACACATGTTTAAGTAATCCTTTATTGTTAGTCTGTCTACATCTCCAAAGCTCAAAACACTCTGTTCTAGTTTAAGGTGTTACGAAGAGGGAGTTTTCAAGTTAACAGCTCCTTTTGTTTGGTAGAGATGAGCACTTTCAGGGCTGAAATTATCCAAATGCTTCTAGTGACGTTTATAAACACAGTGGAGCACTTCCTGTATTACCACATGACCTCATAAGGTGGACCAGAGTGTTTTCTGTTTGAGAGAAGGATTCAGCCTAAATATTCAGGATTTGTGTGTTAAACATGTGTGAATGGAAAAGGGCTGGGTATCATTAAGAATTTGCCGATACGATACATACTTCGATACACAGACCACGATACCTTACATCACAGGAAGGACCAAGTCTTGGATTTGCAATTCTCAAGTAAATCTCAAGTCTTTGACCTCAAGTCCGAGTCAAGTCCCAAGTCAAATACAGGCAAGTCCAAGTCAAGTCCAAGTTGTCTGCTTTGAGCTTCAAGTCATTTCAAGTTTTTAAACCAAAGTACCAAAAATATATCTTAGATTTTTGCAATTTGTATGAATTTTAAGAGAAATTGTACTTAAAATCATAGTATATTTATATATGAGCATTTATAGAGTATATAAGAGTTGGAGAAATTAATTTAGTGAGTCTTAGTGTGAATAATCATGGTCAGAATAGAAAGAATTCAGATTTAAAAGTGCTTCTCAAGTCTGGTCAAGTCACAGGTCTCAAGTCCAAGTCAAGTGCCAAGTGACTGACCTTCAAGTCCCAAGTCGTAGTCCATTTTATCAAGTCAAGTCTCAAGTCCTAAAAATAGTGACTCGAGTGCAAGTCATAACTTGCAAGTCCCCACCTCTGTCTTACATATCTCGATCCAGTGTAGTTTTGGTTTGATTCGATATATTTCAAGTCAATTTGATACTGTTCAATAAAAAATAAAGGGTAAATTATGGCTGTGATACTAAAAGTCTTTGTTAAACCATTCCTTGTGCAAAGTTCATATGAAACACACTCATTTTAATCATTAAAACAGTGAAAATATCAGATGTGTTGCATAAATGAGTTTAATCCCTCTGAAAAATTATTTAGTACAATATACCAAAAAATACTCTTGGCGATTATATCAAATAATTTCCCTTGTGGATCAATAAAGTTTGTCAAGTCTAAGTCTATATCGATACAGCAGCCCACGATATCATTGTTTTTGATGAGGAAACATTATAACATATATCAGGAAATAGCTAAAATGGGCTGTTTAAAGCAGGAAGACGGGATAGTGAGGCTACCACAGAGCAGACACCTGACCTAGACGACATAGACTTTGCCCTTTTCACCCCCACCCCCGTTAGTCCAGCACCCACAACCCCCAACAGATTAGACCATAATAAAATATAACCAGCACAAGAGGATTAGTTACAAATACATGTTCAGCTCTGAAGCAGGACTGTGTGGAAACGGCTGCTTCCGTGCAAGGCGTTTCAGGACCTCAAAGACGGCTTAGACAAAAGACAAAAAATCAGTTATACAGTAAAATGCATCTTGTAAAATTAATCATATTCGTGTAATAGTTTTCATTTGTTGACATTCACTGTACAGTAATTCCCTGAAATCTGCATCTGACGCGCCAACTCAAAATTTGTTGCGTTGTCTATTCACATTGTTCGGGAAGTTGCCACGACTATATCCATTCTTCCTGTTGTGTCCACTGGCTTTGATGATTGTAGTTCCCATAAACCTGGAACACTTTACACAAATCAGTCAACTTTAAATAATGTTTAAGTGACAAGACTTTTCGTTAAAATAATTGGGATTCCCCGAAGTACCAATGAATGTAGGTCAGTAACAGTCAGAAGTAAAAGTGGTAGTAGTAGTATTAGACATAGTCATTAGACAGTACAGCCATTGCTTCTATTTAAAATTCTCAGTAACTTTATATTTTCAAATAAAAGTTAGACTGGCGGTTTTATGACCCTAACTAACACCGTGGTGGCAGTTCTCTGTATAGACAAATTTAGTCATTGGCTTCTTTACCTTCTCTAAAAGTCACTGTGGTCAAAGGTGAAAGCGTCTTAGACCATGTTTGACACTGTTCCTAGAAAGCTCCGGGGGAGGGAGCTTAAGAGCACCATTCAGAATATTTTCCATATTACTCAAAAAATGTATAGATAGATAATAATTACCTCCGCCAAGGAGGTTATGTTTTTGCCGGCGTTTGTCTGTTTGTTTGTTTGTTTGTTTGTTTGTCTGTTAGCAACATAACTCAAAAAGTTATGGACCGATTTTGATGAAATTTTCAGGATTTGTTGGAAATGTGAAAAGGAAGAACTGATTTCATTTTGGGGGTGATCCGGAAGAAATCCTGGATTCTGGATCACTTTGAAATTTTAGTTAACATTGTGGTAAATGGGGCCAAACATTTTGTTTCTCAATATCTCGGTTAATTATTGACCAAACTCCATGAAATTTGACTCAGGGATGGACAATGGGATCCTCTTTCATATTCCAAAGGCTGATCCGGATCTGATCCAGAAGACTGATTTTATCGCAATTTATATAAAAAATGGGGGTAGTCCTTGGCCGAGGTCTGCGCTCTCTGAGTGCTTTTCTAGTTGATACTAAAACCATTCTTTCTGTGAGTGGAGTTGCCTCTCCACAGACCTGATCTGGCATCTGTCCTGGTGGTGTGTCACATTAGCACATGTGGAATAAAATAAAAATATAAACCTCCACCACAAAAGCTGCATGGTGCACCTTTAAGTTTTTCTAGGGCTGTGACACTAATCTGATTTAATCAAGATTGAGATTCAGTGCTTTCTAATCAATTATATGTTTGGGTCTTTTTAATCGAAACATCTACAGCCAGTCCTCTGTCAGTCAAAGCAGAGTTCAGACTAAAAATTGACTATTTCTTATGTTAAATGGTGATGATTAAAGTCTGTCGTGTTTGTTTAAGTTTAGGAAATGAATGCTGAAAAGAATATTTATTTGATATTATAAGACAAAATAGAATTGAATCACAATTCAAAATATACAGTATATAAAAATTAGAACATATTTGCCAGCTAGATGTTTTTTTTTCTGTTAGATTTCTATTATCTGTGGCTTGCATAATATCTTTCCTAGTTTGCCTTACCCCTGCTGCCCCAGCCTGTTGCCTCTAGCCTGTGTGTAATGTGGATTAGCCCTGAGACTGCAGTAGTTGGGGCAGGTTTAACCCACTGATCCCAGCTTACATGTGAGCTCTAATCCACACAGCTGACATGTTGCCATTCAACAGAGCCTCCACTTAGTGACGTGTACATTCAATACTACACGCTTCATATCAGAGGAATTGTTCCATGAACCATGGCAGCGGTGTAAACTGCTTTTTTTTTGTTTTTGTTGTAACTTCTTCTGATGAATACTACATGCTAATAATATAATCATTATTTCAGTTTTTTCTAAATATTTTTTTTAAATGCACTAAAATTATGCCAACACAGATTTTTTAACATTATAGAGAATTAAAAAACATTCTGTAAACTCCTCCATTTTGTCCTGACACAAACCTTTGAATGTAAACTGCAGATGTTGGGTGTTTTGGAGTCGAACTGTCCCCAGTGCAATACACTGTTTATCATTGAGTATTCTCTTAAAGAGACACTGCATGTTTTTTGTTTGTTTGTTTAGACATAAAAAGATGTTTTGAATTTGATTTGTTCTTATTTGTAAAAGTAAATATGGCTGTCTCAGATAAGAGATGTCAAACATAGAGGAGTATACACGCAGTGGTCAACAAGATGAGGATGCAATAAATATTTATCCACCAAGCAAACATTAGAAGGCAAACCTTGTGTAAGGTTTTTTCTTATGAACAATTGTAAAATCTAAAAAGTAAAAAAGGGAAAAATACAAAGTTTCACTCGGTATTAGTTATGTTGTTGGCAATATACATACAATATGAACTGTTGGAAGATTGCTATGAAAATAAAAATTTTGGTGGTATAAAAATAAGAATGTTTTTACACCAATTTCACTAATAGTGTCAGGTACAGGCAAAGAATAAATAAACAAACTAATTACTTTTCTTCTCTAGATCTTTTTCTTCTCTAGGCACTTGTAGGTGCACATACACACCCTTAGTAAAATGCTAAATAAAAATCAAAGTTTTAACTTTGCTAAAGCATTTTTAGTCAATGAGGATAACACGTTTCATCCTTATTGAATAACATATTTATAAATTTTCTGGCTAATCTTCTGTAACCTTGTTGTTAAACCTCAGGCTTATCACTACAGAAAAGAAACCTTGCATCGGTATCAGTCATTATAGCTGCTACAGTGGGCTGATCCATTCCACCTTGAGAAGTCCATGTGTGAAAGTCAGACGGGCTAATTGTGGTGCGTTCATTAAAGTGAACCTCCAAAGCCTGCTTAAGTCTGCATTACAGAGGAGGAGTCTCTCAGCAGGAAGCCATGTTTGTTCAGTGCCACTTGCAAATCCACTTGCTACAGGGGGATCAGTGGCTTCTCACACAGATGCACATTCAGAAATGCTGAATAAAGCATACTTTTATTATTTAGATAATGGCATTAAAGTCTGCCTTCTGTGAGAAATCATACTGTTGACCCTAAGGTTACAGTAACTTTGTTTTTAAACAAATTGTTGACTTGCTGCAGTGGGGTAAATAGACTCCTCTCCAGATTTCCATGTTGTGCCTCAGGTGAACAGCCTTTTGTGCTTCTGTTAGTAAGGAAGCCAAAGCAGACAGAGGGAGAGCATGTAAACTTCCCAAAAACTTCCATAAATGTCATAAAAAGCTCATAAAAAGCTTTATGTTGTATGCAGGAGTCCTAACCACGATTTGCCCAACAATCACTGATCTCCTGATTTTGTATTTTTAAAACTGTTATTTAGTTGAAACACATAAATGGACAGTTAAAGTAAATGCAGTATTTCCAACACTGATCTTATATTTGTCCTTCTCTTCTTCTTGTCTCAGGTGGTTCCACCCAAACATCACAGGACTGGAGGCGGAGCAGCTCCTGTTGACTCGGGGTGTCCACGGTAGTTTCCTGGCCCGACCCAGCAAGAGCAACCCGGGGGACTTCACCCTCTCGGTCAGGTGGGTCCTCGTGCAGTTCCGAGTTCTGCTCTGAAAACAAACACCTTGTGAAATGACTAGTACTTCTCCATGTCTGACACTGGCTGATATCCACTCTACGCTGAGATGCCCTTAATATTTCTTGTATAACCTTGTGTTCATTGGGAGTAAAAAGAGCTGTTCAAACACAGTGCACAGATGGCAGCAAACAAACTGAATACGAAGAGTTCTTCCAATTTCCTTTTTGAGATGTGTTGAAATTAGGCATGCACCGAACCAGCTTTTACTGTTCTGATACCGATGTTGATGTCTTTAAGTATCTGCCGAGACCCGATACTTGCCACAATACTAGGGCAGACGCTGAAAATGTATTTTCTTTAAACACAAGCAGCAAAGGGAAAAAAAGACCCACATGTGATTTGTAGCTACAGAACTGCTTTGTAAAAATACAAGTTTAATATTTTGAGATGTTTTGGGTCAATAAATCATTTTATTACACCCATTTTAGACCAAAATGGGATATCGGCTGAACCAATATTTTGGAAGTTGATATCTGATCCACCAAAATGTCAGTACCGGCACTGATATACGATACCAGTACCTAGGTGAAATGTAGTTATTGAAGTATTGTTGCTGTTATTTTCATCGTCATTGTGTTTACATTAACATATAACATATTCATTTATTTATTAATTCTCAGCAACTCTTGACCTCTGAGAAAGTTTCGGCCTGGTACTTCTCACTGATAAGAGGGATGTTACAGTTCTGTGTGGGATGGGTCTTTTCTGAAATAACTCTATGCCAAATCATTTACATTTTAACAGCTTACCCTGGCCAGCTGGAATGGGTTTCTCCAGTCCCTTTCAATCCCCAGGTATAAAAGCACAAAAATATATGAATGATTATTAAGTCTGATACAAAAAGTCAGCTGGTTTTCGACAGGGTGAATGACCTCCCAGTTAATTCTTACATTATATTGCCTGCAGTTATTTTAAAATTAATTTAAAATGTTCAGTGTACAGAGGTGTAGGTGGGTAGAGAAGACAAAAATATCCAAGAAGTCTCAAGTTAGAGTAAAAAAGTATATGGAATAAATACAACTGAAGTGTAAGTGTCAGGGCATGAAATTTCATATTGTCAAAAGCTTTTGTTTCTTGTACATTTACAGTGGGAAAAGTAACCGAAACCTTTACTATAAAAAAATAATAAAAATATTACTCAAGTAGGACTTAAAGTATGTTGCTAGAAAAGTACTCTGAAAAGTATGATTTCTTTCAGTTACTCATATAAACGTGAGTACCACCCACCTCTGTGCCTTTTGCTTGTGCATATGTTCGAGAGGGTCCCACCGCAGATGTGTTGTCATCTGTTTTCATTATTTCATTTTCAGTTTGAAAGCGATGCTGGGTCCTTAAGATATAATGTTGTGTAATGCACAGCCAGGCCTTGACTTGGGCCTGTGGTTTTTGTGGTGAGTGTCATAAATCACTCTCTCCACAAGAAGACGGGTGAGCCTGATGCAGCCACAGTCGCCCGTCCACAAAACCATAAGTACACAACAGGGAGGTCAACTGGGCAGGCAGGTCTGCTTCTTCACAATATTACGAAGAGGCTGAATGTGAAGGAACTCGTATAAAATGTTTCAAAGAACAAACTGTTCTTGTGCAAAGCTACAGACACAAGGAGTGGAACGGTTATGAGTGTATGCTTCCATAGCGAGGTCATTCACTATAAGATGCAGAGAAAGGTCTATCTCTGTGTTTATGGTTGCATTAATACAGTTATTTTTCATTTATTTTTTATTATGCCAAATGAATAACATTACTGATAAACCATTCACAGTTTGTCCTACTTGCTTTTAGAAAATGTAATGTTGAAGTTGTTATATAAGTCTATGCTTTTATTGAATATAAAAGCATCATCTTTTTAAACTTAACTATAGTTTTATAGAGTTTCAGCATAGAAACAAGTAATATAATAAATAACAGACAACAAAAGATTTGAAAATAAAGTGTACCAAGAAGATAAGGAAGAAAGAAAGAAAGAGAGAGAGAAAATAACGAATGTGTCTGTAGCTTAATTAACCCTACATCTTTGTTGCTCCAAAAGACCATATTCAAGGCATTGAAGTCTTGTGCTCATAGTTTTATTTTCAAAATTCAACACTACTTGTGTGCACTAACATATAAGCAAATATTCAGAGTTGCCGATTCAAGAAATGCAACGTTTTGCCCATGTTTAAGCAAAAGCCGCATTTACAGTGAGCGTGCATGTTCCATTCATTAACTTGTTGGCTGTCTGCCCAGGAATCAAACCCACAACCTCCAAGTGCTATTATGAGCTTATATACAGCGTATCTGCTATGAAAAGTACTGCTTTCTGCACACAGTTGCCCAAATGGCGTTAGTGGGTGTGCATGAGTTAGTCACATGTTGAGCCTTTTCCTCCATAGCCTGTGCCCCTAACAGCACACGCACAGACAGCCACAGCATCCGGCGTCTCAGGAAACTACACCAAAGACGGGGGAAAATTACAATTATTATCTGCCCTGGTTTGTACTCTGCCAATGCTCCTCTATTTATACACACAAATAGGCCTGTCACCATAAATACTGTATTGACTTATCTTCAGTGATGGGAAGAATATTTAGAAAATGTATTTAGTTACAGAATACTGAATACCTGCATTAAAATGTATTTCATAATGTATTCTGATACATGGGCCAATCAGAATACTGTATTCTGAATACTTAGAGTACTTTTACATGGAGTTGCACTTAAATTATAGTGTCAAAATGTAACATAGTATTAAAACAGCTTTATGTTTGTTTCACTGTTTGTTACACATTTATCACTAACTGGACAAGACCACAAGAGCTGTGTTTTATATTTTTCTCACTAAATTACATGAGCAAATAATATAATGTATTCCTTTGATTTTAGAAAAGTAACTATTCTTAATACCACCAAAAAAGTAACTGTACCATATTACAGTTACTCAAAATTAGTATTCTCAGTACATGTATTCAGTTACTTCCCAACACTGCTTATCGTTCAGTACTGGACAGATGGAACAGTCATTTTCGGGGACTTACTTTTTGTAATGGAAACTTGGTAAGACTTTATTTTAGGGTAAACTTTTTTAACATTTAACTACCCATTAATTAGCATAGTTATAAATGGTTAATTTGTCATTAATTAGTATTTACTCATCCCTTATTAATGTCTAATTCCCCATAAGCTTATTCCGCTATTAGTTAGACATTTACAAACACTTTCCTATTAATACACTCATTATTACTTCTTATTAATATGATAGTAGATCATTTTTGTCCATGAATTATGATTCTAATAAGCTTTTGGCGTGAATAAGTAAAAACTACATTTCTTATGGTACTAGTCCTTAACAACACTAGCTCATTAAAATCATTTTAATAAAAAATTAATATACAAAAATGGCCTAGTGTCATTAATAAACAGTAATAAGGAGTGTTTGTAAATGTCTAACTAATAGCAGAATAAGGAAATGGGAATCAGACATTAATAAGGGCTGAATAAATACTAATTAATGACAAATTAATGATTTACAAATATGCTAACTAGTGGGTAGTTAGATGTTAGTAAGTGTACCCTAAAATACCAGAGACTTTTAATTTTTAATTTTTTTTCTGTATTATAATACGTTTTGAGCTTTAGAAGGTTGAATTAATCACTTCCATGACTCATTACAGATGCGAACTAAGCACTTAAGTCTGTCACTTAATTATTGCAGTGCATATTTTTTGTACATAATTGCTTATTGTGACAGGCCTACCCATAAACATGTCATAGGTTTCAGCTAGAGATGCACCAATCCAAATATATGGGATGGAAATATAAGTTGATGTAATAACACTGCCTACTGGTTTTATCTGGGCTAAAAAGTCTCATAGTGTTTCAACTTTTGTTTATAGAAAGTTCTATATGTACTTGAGAGTTAGATAACAAATACATATCACATTTTATCAGTCTTTTGTGTTTTTTTATTTTTGTACAAACCCTAACCCTATTATCAGTTGATATCTGGGATCAGCAGGTACTTAAAGCTGTATTATCGAAATCGGTATTGGAACCGCAAAAGCTGGATCTGTGCATCTCTGGTTTCATTCTAATCTCTACAAAATGGAGGTGGTTGGAAAAGCTGGGTGCCAAATAAAGTCATAGGAAATAATTACTTCATTTTGCTCTATCTTCTCTACAGAGGCTATTCATGGTTGAGCTTTTTATCATGGCAGTAACTCATTCTGTATGGTTGTCATGGGTTACAAACATGGGCAGGCTTATCATAGAGCAGAGGATGTTAATTACGCCGGTCATTAGCTAGGTTTCATCTTACTGAGGCCATTATGGGAGCTATCAGCTGTGAGGAGCTAATGCATAGAGAGACTGCTGTCTGCCAGTTTCTGTCTTATCTCCTTCTCCCTGGCCTCTCTCCAGCACCTTTCTTCTCGAGGAGGGCATCTGGATGGTTATTTGTATGGGTGTGCAAAAATATCAGAATATCGATGTATTATAATACTAAATTTATATCAAATTTAGTATCAGGATATATCAAATTTATAGCAGCGTTATCATGGGCTGCTGAATAGATTTATCATCAAGAGAACTAAATTATCATTGTGAAATAGAACTCCAGACCTGTATTGTCAGGAAAATTTCCAGAATCAAATTATCCCACTTTATTCTAGAAAATATTTAGTTTGTCAAATGTAGTTCTAAATAAGGGCTAACCTGAAAGATAAAATGGTGATGAAAACTGACTCCACTGTAGATCTGGGTGATATGGCCAAAAATAAAATCTCTAAACTTTTTTTGCAAACACTGAACTATTTTAATTTATTTTAACTGAAGTCAGAGCTGGGACTGCTTGTCTTTTAAACAGAGGAAGCTTTTTACATTTTCATTACATTTGCATAGATATTGAATTGTAATTGTACAATTGCCCGTTTGTCAATTTGAAAGTCAGGAGTAAACTGTAAACTG